CGCCATAGAAACATTTAAAAATTTAACTTGCGTGTGAATAATGTGGTATTTCGATTTTTGCCTGTATCAGTAACATCAAGTATTTTTTATGGGTTGTATATTGTAAAATTATTCAAGATTATTCGTAATTTACTTTATTTTACAAATTTATTTAAATTTTCAATTAGTTATGCATATATAATTTATTTTTAAAAGAGGTATTCCTTTTACAAAAGTGCTGTAAATTTTTATAAACGGATCTTAACTAATATGACATGATTGTATAAACAGAGGGGAAATGTTATATTATCAAAAAGGGTTACTTGCAGGGCAAAATGTTTGAGATATTTAGCATAGAAGAAAGTTAGAGCCCTTTTTCTCACACCGATACTATCTTAATTTATTTGTTCTTAAGTTGAAATCAGTTATCTGGCAGAGGTAAGCGATTAAAGATTTATTTGTTTTGGTAGGAGCTTAAGTAAGATCCATAAGTTAGTCATTTCCAGCTAGTTTAAGTCAGCTTTTCTTGATTGTAAATGGCCTGGTCTTGTTAACCTGTTTTGTTACTAGTCTTCAAGATAGCAGTTTATATTACCTTTTTTATAACAATTCCAAGCTGTGATTTAGTAAATTTACGTCTTTTACGTTTCATTTTCTAATAGATTGTACTTTCAAGGCTCATTTCGAGATTAAATTTAGATCATATTTTAGTAATTGTCAAACAGTAACTTAGTAATTGACAATACACTTCAACAGATACAAATGCTGATTAAACATTAAGTTTAGGTAGAAGGCCGACCTTAAAGTTTAGTTAAAGAGCAAATATTACTACTCATTAAGAGAAAAATAGGCAGCAGAAGAAGCAGGAAAAAAAAAGTTAAAGAAAAATGTTTATTTTTTATTCATGAAAGAATATTTTCCATTTAGGTACCTGAAAAATGATACTCATATTTTCAGGAAGGAAATCATTTAAACTCTGAATTCTTGATTTATTGAACTTCGTTAATGTGAAATTATTATTTTTAGAGAAATGCATGAATTTTAGCGGTGCAGCTTATTATAAAGCTAGATTTGAGCGTCTATATAGATAAAATGATAAATTTTTTGAATCATCAAAAGTAAAAAAACCAACGTTTGTTTCCCATTACATGCCACAAAAGCATGTAGTAGAAGTACATGCCTGTTGCATATAATGGCAAGTTATGGGATTTCATGTAATTTCTTCCAATACAGAAAGTTAAGAAATGCAATTTTATCAGATGAATTGCTTCTCTAACACCTTCACTGAAAGGATTAAATTATTATAATGGCCGTTACCTCTCAAACAGCTTTACTTTGAATGAATAAATATACGTTTGTAGACGCTCATGTAGTGCCTGATGTAATAGTTTGATTCCACCGCCTTGTGTACACGGCTGAAAAATTCTCATTTATAAATTCATTCTTTTCAAAACAGTTTGTAGTATAAGGTTACAGAACTGTTTTACCTTAAGTGGGAATGACTTTGCTTTGAAAAATGAAACTGAAAAACAACTCAATGAAACTCGGGTGTCATTTAATTACCTACATATCCTGATATTATTTTACTGAGGATTTATGAATAAGGACAAAGAAATTTAATTTCACATATATCGTTTTTTGTGATTTTACAAATTGAGAAGCAAAAGAAACTCGTTATGATATTTATAAATGTAGAACGTTTAATACACTTTAGCGAATCTTCTTAAAAATTTGTTTAAAACAATGTTTTCTTAAGTATCGCTAGATTGCTGCATTTTCTTTATTTTATAGATATAAATATAATCTCGGCTTCTTTTGAAACATGAGTTGTCAAAGTTTAAGCAGTGGTATGTAAATTTTTGACAGTTTCATAACAATTCTTATGTTTCGAACTATATACTATTTAAGAAGTATCATCTAGAACCGTGCAGAAATACGCAGACACCTGTAAGTTTAATTATCTTCTCCTTTATGAAACAACATATGACTGTAAAATAAAAACCAAGGACTCATGATCATAAGGAGGCAATGTCTCTAAAATCAAAATCTTAAAAATTTATCAGCATGACAGCACAGATTCAGAACTCATGATACTAAAATTAAATAAGTGAGTTTACAATTAAGTGATATTTACAGATCAAGTAAAATTCTATTATATTAAAGAGAATGATGCCTTAATATACATAACACTTATTATAAAAAATATTTAAATCTTATTTTAAAACCTGGCACCATTTGAATAAAGTATTAAAATGTGATTTTTTTTCCAGTTAACTACTAATTAAAATATACGTCACAGATTAGGACACATTAGAGTTTGTAAACATCGGCGGGTCACTCTTTTGGGACGAGCCTAGAGTGACTGATCCGTAGGAAAGCAAACGGAGTCCCCTCTCTCTTCGGTTTCCGTTCAGATCTAAATACTCGATTACCGCTTTGAACAGCCTCAAATTTTTATTAACTTGTGGTCACTAGAGTTGCAACAGCTTTCAAAGAGCTTTTTTTATAATTATAGTTATTTTCGTATGGTGTATTTTTGTATGGGGAGCACACATATCAGAACGAATATGGCGGATGTTTCAGTGAAATCTGTTAGTTCTTTGACTTTTGTCCTTAACACCAACACACTTGTGCATCAAACAGTATAAAATATGATCCTGGAGTTCTCACGATCCTGTAGAGCATAAGTAAACTCCAATCAATAACTCTGCATGCTAAGAGACAGTTTACAGTACACTCAGAATCACTAGAATGAACGAATTTTCTTTCTTACACTACTGGTCAAGACATAGGTAACAGTGTAGAAAGAGGCATATCAAATTTATCATACGGAATTAAAATCTAAAATTACATCTTTGATATAGATTTTTAACGCTGATTTCTGATGTGTAAAAAATGTGCACAAAAAATTCAATTTCGAAGTCAAAACAAAATTATGTAAAATACAGCATTTCAAATGTGCGATTCACATCCCAGTTTAATAGTGTTTTAAGAAATGATAGATGAAAAGTTGCACACGTGGGTCAATGAATTCAGCATACAGCTACGGAGATCACATGCAAACCACAGATAATGCTCAAAAGTTTCGTTTAATTTGAATGCATGTTTCGGAGTCCCATAATTTCTTCTCATACAAGTAGATACGTTAATTCGATAACTTTCTGGAGAAGAGATTTTTTTTACTAAAACTGTCAGAACATGTCAAAGTATTCTAAAGAATATAATAAGACTACATATTAAGAGGTAGAAATAACACAAAAAATACTTACTTTTGATAACAGTAATATTAAAGAGCAATCAAGACAGATCGAAGTACAGATTTCTGTTTCAGATAAAAATATACAAACTTACTTTCGGATTGAGAACTTGAATCCTTGACTATTTGTCCTTTTAATGATATTGTTAAGTGCGATTTCTAATGAACTTTCCACATGTCAACTCTTAAGAGGTTATCTAAAATTCATCGATATACAAAATTTCATGCGTATTCAAAGAAGTTCTTTCAAATTATTCCGAAGCAAAAATTACGTAAAACTCATCGCCCATCTATTTGGTTTACTCTTTTTTAAAATGAAATCGTCAGACAGTGCAGAATCTATTTTTACGTGAAGCGTCCTGGCCTTTTAAGCGCTTCGCATTAAAGCTGAATGGTCACTGCGAGTTTCTAGAAAATAAAGTCTCAAAACATTCCATACCTTCAAATTTTAGCAATGCCTTTTCTTTATTAGAAGCAGACAGAAGGTAAGTGGTTCTTTTTCACAATATATTATGAATAACCATTCTAAAAGGATAATGTTCTCATTTACTGATCTCCTTTCCGAAAACACTGTGATATGGATAAAGAAGACCACTTTACTGCAGAGTAAACAAGACAGATGTTAACCATGTTTTCTAGAATTCTATGGACGTAAATTGCAAGTGCATTTGGGCAATATATTGAGGGATGCTTTGATTTCTATCCTAACTTTAATATTAGGACAACAGGAAAATTCCATGCATTTGGTAAGACATTTTTCTTATACCTTATCTTACAGAAAGTGAGCAGTTTTACCTGATTTACAGATGCTTGATGATGAGATATTTAAGGCCTAGTTTTGCGTGACCTGACTAGCTGTGGTAGACTAGTTTTGATTAGTTTAGGCCCTGGAGTAGCGAGCATAATTGGCGCCCGGGGCAAAATACATTTTTGGCGTCCCCTCCCCCCTCGAAAAAAACACAGTGACATGATGAAAATCTTGTTTGGAGACAATTTGGCTCCCCTCTGCGAGCGGCGCCCGGGGCATCATACATTCCCTTGCCCCCCTCGCTACGTCACTGACTAGGTTTGAGTGTCTGTGATAATGTGCTCAATAACTCAAGCGCTGCGAAATCAGCATTGCAGCTCTCTAAGCTGGGAGCATGAAAGATGCTTTAATGAGATCTGAGCTTTCAAAAGATACATGCTCGTTTGTAATTATCGTTGCCAGGACCAAGAGCAAATACATCCCTCGTAACTTGTGTGAAAAACTGATTGACATGATTCGGTTTAATACTTGTAAAGATGTGATTGTAATGCTTATGTAATTAAGTCAATGTTTAAAAACTTCTTTAAAAATTTTTACGTGACCAAATTAAAAAAAAAAAAAAAATTACTTATTTGCTTTTCAATGTCCCCCTACTGCCCCTACTATTAGCATCTTCGCATTAAAAGTGCGCACCAAGAGGGGGTTAGCACCCCCATTGGGAGATCATGCTTCATAGCTGATCTTACTTTTTTTAATTATTTTAGATGACCTCTCAACTGCCACGTACTAGATGCTACAATTCAGAACTGATAATTCTTTTCGAGATTGATTTTAGATCACAAACCAGCGGCTGCGACGGATTTTCGGAAAGTTTGTGCACATCACTTTTTGTCCTCTTCCTTAATATCTGAGGATTATCTCTTCCAATTATCCCACTTTTCTTTTATCTACATCACACATGCGAGATGGGGGGGGGTGATAAAATGTTATAAGGTATTTCTCTCGCCTTCTTAGCATGCCTTCGTAGTGTAGTGGTCAGCACGCTCAGTGCGCATCCGAGAGGTCCGTGGTTCGATTCCCGGCGAAGACGTTTGCTAATTTTTCAATTCTCCTGCTTCCAAAAATATACCTAATGTCTCTACACTGGCGCTCGAATCGAAAGGGTGGTGGATGATCATTTTTCCACACCCAGGATTTGGCGATTGGGTCCCAGTCGCTCTTTAAAAGGGGGAGTATATAATGTATTTCTCCCGCCTTCTTAGCATGCCTTCCTGGTGCAGTGGTCAGCACGCTCGAAGCGAATTCGAGAGGTCCGTGTTACGAATGTAGTTCTGCGCCAAGTTTCCTATCGCCTTTATTGTATTTTCTTTTAGAAATCTTAAAACTAACATAGTATACTCTTTTCCCAACAGAAGTTGGAATTGTTGTAGGTTACATGCACTGTATTCATAAAAGTCCTTACACAGCTTGATTTTCGTAACCAACGGTTGTAGACATATACTTTCACTAACAAAAATGTCTTAAATGTCGCAAATTTTAATATCTTGCCATTTTTAATATTTAAACAAAAATTGTAAAAATTTTGAAATCTCTCGTTTTACATAGTTGTTTCAGGCCCAGTGGTTTATTTAGTAAAATTTACATTTATTATAAAAAATAACACTGAAGAAGTTTGATTCTCGTATGACAAAATTGCAAGGACAAGTTATAGGCTGTCTGTTCTTTCAAGGGTTCTACATTAGTTGGTTGTCAATGTCAAGATGAGCTTCAGTTGTGACAATTTAGTTCATTTCTAAATAACAATTAAAAAACATTGCATCTTTTCTAATACATCTGACTTAGTCAGGCCAGATGATTAAAAAGATTTGTGTGACGAGCGTAGGAGTTTAACTACAGTAACTAGAAACATGAAGTTGTCTGATATCTGAGCCTGTCTGAAATTGGCTGCTGCTCTGAAGAACGTCAGTTTGAGCCCAGGAGTTTCGGAGCGAACTAAATGATGGCGAAAAAAATAGTTGCTGCTACTTAATTGATGCTTAAATCTTATCCAGTGTAGCTGATTTCAGAGAAGTCCTGTGCAAAACGGTAAGCTACGGTTGAAAGCTTAGTAAGCTAAAATTAGTACTGTGATTCTTCTTAGAGTAAAACTGAAGGGTGAATTTTTGTATAAACAAGCGGGCTGTTATCTGTATTTTTATATTAATTCTCAAGTAGAGACTCATTAAAGTTTTATTGAATGATATTGCATGAACTGGAAACATCCCTTCAATTACGATAACCTGTGTAAGGAAATCAATGGCACCTTAATGTTTAGAACCCACACAGTTAGCTATAACGGTTACTATAACCCAAACAGTCTCAAATCTAACAGGTACCATACAGTTAGACATCGAGAAATTGACGCTGCCTTCACGGACAATTGCGCTCACCAGCCAAGGTATCCGAAGCAGTTCCAAATAATTTCTATTTAATCACGAGACTCGTTTAATTTGAACTTGTCTTATTGATCGATGGTGGCGTGCGCTCGTGACAGCTTTATTTACAGCTAAGAGACTGACTCAACAGTATATTATTATCAGATTTCAGATATTAAGAACTAAAATTATTTAAATTTCTTTAGTTGATATCAGTGACTGACGCTCCATGCATAGATCCAATTTAATGATTTCTAGTAATGAATGAACAAAAAATTTCAGCTTTATTTGTAGACAGAAAGCATTTATGTACTGATGTATAAATGAAGCATTTTCTAACCAATGCTTCACTGTGAAAAGATCACCCAATTAAATTGTACAACAGCCGTGCCTAGGTTTCTCCACCTAAAAAAAAAAATCTGATGTAGACGCCACATGACTTTCTAGTTCGGCCTATGAAATTATACACTTTTTTGGCTGTATTTCATTAAAAGTATTTCCTCGAATTTCGTTAGACATATATTTCTCATTAAATGAAGTCAGTTCTGATTTTGCGGTAAGAAAACGTAAAAACTGAAAACATTGATAATTAAAAATTGTAAAATACAGAAAAACGAAAGAATTATCGATCTTTATCTAACAATGGATGGATGGACGGACAGACGGATGGATGGAAAACTTTGCTTTGGGACACCCTAATGCGAATTCTTCGGACAGAATATCATGACATGAGACAAAATATATTAATCGCAATGTAAGGTTTGATTTACTCCCAAACCTTTTATTTTATATTGATTTTTTATGGGTTACTTTTAAAATCGAAGAATTTTTTCTTCTATTTGTTCTTTTTTTATTTCAAAAAAGAATCACCAAAAGAGGATTAAAAACAGCAGTTCGCTAAATTGTTAAATATCTTAAACTTTCCAAATTTCAAGTATCTCTTCCATGTTTATTAATTTTAATTTTTGTAGACAGACTAATGTAAACGTCAGGAAGGAAAAAATCGTTTTGGTATTATTGCTTTCAAGCCGTTATTCTAACGGGTGAGCCAAAAGTCCTTTAACGTTTGAAAATTCAATACTTCACTGAAAAAGGTAGGCAGAGGGATAAAAACTGAGACACACAGGCTTTCAATGTCATGGGGGTTTATCGATAGGAAAAAAACGGGCTTAAAACGGCCAACAGATGGCTCTTCATATGATAGAAAAAACAATAATTGGCATAACAATTAATTTTTGGTAATGACTATGTTCTTTATAACAGATGTTCAAAATGTTGGCCGACATTCATCAGCAATACCTGTAGTCGAGGGACAGTGATGTGAACAGCACTGTACAGTAAATCTGTTGGTATTGTGAGAAACTGCCATCGGATTTTGTATTTTAGCATCCCCAATGAGGTCGGACGATTGTGGTAGACTGGCGATTTCAGGTAACCCCACAGCCAATAAACACACAAACTGAGATCTGGGGACCTGAGAGGCCAAGTATGACGAAAGTGGCTGCTCAGCACGCTATCTTCACCAAATTATGTGTGCAAGAGATCTTTCACACTTGTAGCAATATGAGGTGAAGCGCCATCCTGCATAAAAGTCATGCCTTCCAACAGGTGTTTATCAGCCAGATTAGGGATGATGCGATTCCGTGACGTATTAGCGTAAGTCGCACCCGCCACACTGACAGTTTAAATAACAGAACACGCATTTTCTCAAAGAAAAGGGGTCCGATCGTGATTGATGTGATAAATCTACATCACACCGTGACCAACACCCGAGGGCGAGGAGAGAAAATTGTCAAAATCACAAAGAGACTGATTCCCTCTCTGACTACAGCGCATTTCATATGCGATTCTTATGCAGCGTCTTGACATTTTGTTGTCCAGCGCTATATGTTGGCTTTTTATTGAATTTTTTTTTCCATTCAGTTAAACCCCATGCCATTTCAAGCATGTATGTCATTTTTTACCTCTCTTACATCATTCCGTAAATTATTGAATTTTGAAATGTTAACGGATTTGAGTTACCCGGTATATTAAGACACATAATATTGGGTGATTGAAATATATTTTGTTAATTATATATTGGTGCAAATGTTTATAGAAACTATCGATTAAACATATTATAAAGCACATTCTTAAATCACACTAATTAGAGATTTAGAAATACAATTTTTTAAAATAAAATAATATTAGAAGCTACTAAGAAGCAAGTGTATTATTTTTGAATCACTTCTAAGTCATCCGATTAGTTGAGCAGCGTAATATTTTAATTTGTCAGGAAAAATGAAAATCGTATGAAGCTTCGAATGGAACCATCTCTAAGAAATGGAAATTTGTCAGCCCAATTGGATGAGAAATGAATGATAGTAATACTGCATAGTGATAACACTTGCTAGGCCGATTGGGTGATACATGTCTAGATAGTTTAACCTAGAGTAACGCAATGGTGACAAAAAGTAGAAAGTGTAAGCTATAGATGTTTTTAACTTCTATGATATATACGAGGCTTATAATATGAAGTGGATTTATTTATTTGCTTTTTATCATTACGTGGTTCTTGTGGGAAGAACTGCTTCAAAGAAATACAGTAATTCGTGTGCGTGCTACCGTGGTGTAAGTGGTAGGCATGTCTAACTCGCAACTAGATCTGTCATTCAAGCGGCATGGGTAGAGTTAATTTTTTCACGTTTCTTTCTAAAAATATTATATGTGGAATTCAGTTATAAATACATGTTTGATATTAATTTTCAAAGCAAATCAAAAGTCATTCTCACCTTGTTTCACTATTAGAGCCGGCATGAATGTTTGCTCACAAGCGGTTCTCACCGCAAGGATGTGAGTCGTCTCAAGTAAATGATGGGTGTGTGTGTGTGTGTGTGAATATGGCAAAGCCTCGAGGGCTATCTGCCTAAGGGGAGGGATGCCTTCATGGAGGACTTTCTAAGGGAAACTGGCTCGTATACACGTTACACATGGCAAGTAAATGATGGAAACAGAGGACAACATTCACTTTTTTTTTTGAAGGAGTTCCCCGTTCGATTTACTGGACGAGATAAAATTAAGTCGTTATGCTTCCTTCAAATCAAATACGTTTATTTAAGTCTCAAAACTATATTCATTTATCAACCAGTGCATCAAGAATCATTTTGCATTATTATTTAAGCATTTAAGCCCGGCTGAAATTAAGAAAAGGGGTGCGAATCACCAATTCAAATCTATAAATCATTTTAGAGAGATCTGAAAATTCTGCTATTGAAATTACAGTAGCTAACTGTAGTTCTGAATTTTTTTTTTTTAAATTTATTTACTTCCTCTAAGAAAATAGTATTGCTTTGGTCTCAATATTAATATATTGCAATTATTTTAATTTATAAAGTATTTTCTCCCTCCTTCTGCATGTCTTCGTGGTGTAACGGTTAGCACACTCGGCGTGTATTCGAGAGGTCCAGGTTCGAGTCCCAGCAAAGGCATTGCTCATTTTTCACATCTCCTGCTTCAAAATAACCTAATGACTCCACAGTGGTGCCCGAACTTAAAGGTGGTGGATGATGATTCTTAACCGCCAGGATTTTGGCGATTGGATCTCCTAATCCCCAGTCGCCATTTAAAGGGGGAGTATATAAGGTATTTTCTCCTTTCTTTCTGCATGTTTTCGTGGTGTAACGGTTAGCACACTTGG